TGTAAGATTTGTGGCGATACGTTACTCCGAAACGACGGTTCATATAAGATCTACATGGCGCCACATCCTATAAGACGGCATTCTTCAAGAATGCAATGCTTCAAAAAGTTGGAACGCATTCCTCCAATTTCATGCCAGAGTACGCTATAGTCCATTCGCGGAGACGAGACAGTTAGCGTAAACAAAGCAAGCCCCGCGTCACCACAGCTGACAGTAAGGAGTGGACAAAGCGCGCAGTTACTCAGTGTACACACTGCATTCGGACGCACGTTAACCTACAATCAGACTGAAGAGTGAACTTTGGATGCCCCTGCAACGAAACACGCATCCCGTGATCGCTGCATGATTTCATTCAAAGAGCGAAAGAGACACCGCGTGCATTTGTTTACGAGGACTCTCTCGTCTCCGCGAATGGACTGTAGGCACAGAAGGCATGCAGTAAATTCTAAGCAGAATATACAACAGAATAGGTAACAATATACTAACGACCTAGCTTGACACAATACTACGGCTATGGAAATGATTACATTAAGTCCCCTCTTCCAATATGCATATGAAACGTCATGTAGTCCGTTGACTTTCAACGGAATACTTGTGTGTTTTATCCCACGAAACAGGACTCAACATAATCGCTGCTGTGAGACCCTAAAACTCCACAAATGTATATAATTCATCTATATCTTAAGAGGTTTTTAAATGAAGAAGTTTTTGTATTATTGGTGTACGTAATCGTTTGCAAACTAGTCTTCTGTTTAGTTACATGGAACTAAAGTAAAAAAATGTAAAATATATGACGGACGTCTCCAATACGCCATACTTGTCCTCCCAGTTGAAATGCCAGAGAAGACTAAAGTTATGAGAAACTATACTTATAAGACGGCCAGAACATCCGAGATAAAGTTATTTTTAAGACAACATGAACATTCTGCAAAAATGGTGTAACATATTACTAATAAGTTCTACAAATAATGATAAAATATTTTAAGAATATTCAAAACTGCAAAAAAAAAACAAACAAACAAACAAGATGGGGAAACAAAAGTAGGAGAATGGACGTTGCTTTTTTGAAGCCGGAAGGAGCTTTCGGGAAATATTGAGGGTGATTTAAATAACACAAAAAATACAATCAGCACATGGTAAAAAAGGTAGATCAAGCTATCCCTGTAACAGACCGTGGAGACCCATAGGGTTGTGAAACGTCGAGGTTCCCACATTTTCTAGACAGTCGGCTCACAGATGGCGGTGAGGTTGTCAGCCATACGTGCCGGCCGTTCTTTACCCCCAGGAAGATTCCTGGTACTCATTTCTGTCAGAGGCTGAGTCGATCCCAGGGCCATAGTGCGGCTGGAAGGATTAGGTCAATTGAAAAATCCAATAAACTCATCTGGAATCGAAACCGCGACCTTCCGGCTTGTAGCGTAGTGCCTGAACCAACCCGCTACCAAGTGCCCATACTAATCAACACATGAATAATATTATAGCTACAACTGCATACAACATAAATACGTGGTAAGGATAGGTTGAGAAAGAATCGCGTTCATCTTAACAGTTTCGAATTCTAATCCATTAGGACAAAAAAAAACATTTTTAAATCAGTAAAAGTATGAAATAACCAAATGAGATATTATTACACACGGAAATGTTTGCTTCACATAATTCTGCACGTCCATTAGTATTCCAAAAAAATCCATTAACACCAGAGGTATGACGCAATATTTCGTAGCTCAGGCCAAAACTTCCAGCTGCAGTACAACTCTGTATATTTTTTTCCTTGGCACTACAGCCCCAGTGGGCCTAGGCCCACCTCCATGAATTTCTCCGTTCACTTTGATTTTTCTAGATCTTACACATTCGGTAGGACTCCTTGGGCGGGTGATCAGCTCGTCACAAGGCCTCTACCTGTACACAAACACAGAAAAACGCACACACACAAACTGAACATCCATGCCCTGAGTGGGATTCGAACCCACGATCCCGGCTTCCGAGCGAGCGTAGACAGTGCATATCTTAGACCGCTCGGCTACCGTGACCGGCACAACTCTGTATATACCCAACATATATACATCCATTCTCCATGCAGAAAGAGGAATGCGCACCATGCCATGATGACAGGAGACTCATTTAACATGGACACGATGCAATTAATGAAATTAATTTAATATGTCGGCTTAAAAGAATCTTAAAGCAGTAATCTCTCACCGAAGTGAAGGTGATGTTTAAAAACAAAAGCAACGGCAAATGCTCATAATGAACATACTACAAATATTCACTTCGAACAAATTTATAGTTTCACGTGTTTATGGCTCCATGACTAAGTATAACGAGCTCTGTATTGGATGACTGGATTTATTAACAACTTCTCTTACAATCCCTCTTAATCACCATCAATTACAGCGCTACCGCTAATCTACCCACTTTAGAAATCACAAGGATACGCTGTCTTCTCAGTCTTCATTGGTCGTATCCTGGCAAAAAAATTTATAACAGTCTCACTATAACTACAGCACACATCAGGTCTTCTTTTCGGTTGCTAACCCCGTTTCACTCCTTTGTACACATTCTGTAATTCTACCACTACTCGACTTTCTTATATCTACTTTGCATGGACCCCAGGGAAAGCACAGCCTCTGAACAATTCGTAGGAGTGTTTACCTTTCCGCTGCCTAGAAATGGACTTCCTATTTGTACATGGCACGCTTCTGCGGGTATATGTTTAGCAACCTGTTGCCTAGCAACGGTCATGGCGCGGCCCACATAGAAAACACTTCTTGCAATAACTTTTCTATTGTTGCTTGCGCGTATTTCGGGTGTTGCCTAGAAATGGGCCTACGCGTCAGAATAAGCTGTACCTTGTTCTTAATCAAAGGCTCCAAATATAGTGTAACCAGTGCGGGAATGGCCGAGCCATAGCTCAAGCGATTAGTCGCTGGCTTCCCACCGCGGCGGTCCGGGTCTGGTCAAGTGGGATTTGTGGTGGACAAAGTGGCGCTGGGGCAGGTTTTCTCAGAGTACTTCGGTTTCCCCTGCCAATCTTCATTCCGCCAATTGCTCGTCAATCACCCTCACCTATCATCTGAGGGTGGTACAATAGGCCAGAAGTGGGACTTAGCCCCACTCCACTAGTAATAAGAAAAAAACAGTGCGAGAAAAAGTTTGCGTCACCGTCACGGAAGCAGACCGTTGCGTAATCACCAGAAACTGACTAGCTTGTATTTTCAACATACTTCCAGCATTCATAAGCCGCTGAGAATCTCAGACCTGCTTATGCAGGATTTTTCTTCCATAAAGTTGGCTACGCTACGTATGATCTACCCCGGCTGGCTCGTGATGTGGGCGGACGTTAGCAATGATGTGATTTCCAACGTGTTCCTTGCGCATACTCTCCTACGAATCCGTATTAAGACCCGTCATTTTGTTTTTCCACCCTCAGCTGGAAGCAATACTAACATTTCCCCTTGAAACAGCATGGGCTCGTAGGCCCAATGGAGGTTACAACGACATCTGGACTTTTGCACAAGAGAGAAGAGAGACGTAGCAGTTTGCTGTTTTCTATGAATAACAAATCTCTTTTCCCTCTCTCTTTCTCTTTGCCCCTTGTGTTTCTATAGTAAGCAGGGGTATTATTCCTCGGGGACTCCACCCTCCTTTCACCCCTTCCCCTTTTCATGACTTCTATTAAACGATGGGAAATGCATGAAGACGCACCCCTCCTCCAAAAACATTCAATGTTCCCCAACTTACTTTTTTTTTCTTTTTCATTTTGTGCTGCTTGCTGCTGTCATATAAGATGAAATCCATTTTCCTGTCTTCGCATAAGGCCCTCCATTACAGTTGTTCGCATAAGAACATGAGCTTTCAGAGTAAAGCAGCTCCGGAAACTTAGATGTCCTCATGTCATGTGGTTGTTCTCATAACCACGACATGTCTGCAATATCCGAGAGGCCTGGCGTCTTAATAGCTGACATGAATGTTGCATAAGGCCTTGCCTCGACACGCACACAAACACATATGCTTTTTCTGTTTGTGCCATGCTAAATATTGTGGTCTAATTACTCAAAGCAAGATTGTAGAGCCAAAGAAACAGCCGTTCCTATGTAACGGCTTTGAAACAACATTCGTTTCTAGAAAACGACTGTGAGGCAGGCAAAGGAGTAGACGGCCGCTGCTAGGAAACAGCTCGGTAAGTATATTCCTGCGACAACGGATACACATGCAACATTAGAGATACTACTGGGACCGATATTTTCTACTTGGTCCGTGCAAAGGGGTTATAAGGAGGGCAGCTGAAGCGGAATTCCGTGTATATGTAAGTTAGGCATGATCTGCTCTGTGCAAAGCCTGGACTGACAGAGGACTTGTGTCTAGTGCAAAAAGAAGGATTTTCAATAACATGTTATATGTGCGAAACATACACTTGACGAAAGGCCAAGCGTATTCATAAGAGACAAAGCCATCTTCTCGTCAGAGAGGATGTTACATAAGGACTATTACCGCAAGAGTCCAGTCGGAAAAAATCTCTGGTCGTGGGTATCAAGGGGCCTGACGCCAAGACGAACTGATTGGTGGTAAACCGCCAGTCGCAAAGTAAATTTGACTTTGACTTTGGCTTTGAGAATCCCGTGTGGAGGAGGGGTCGAATACCTCCACCGTAGCTCTGCGAGTCGTGTGTGTCTGTGTACAGTTCTTTCTTGGTTAGTTATAACTCGATGTTCTAAGTGTTTTTCCTTTCTTAATATTTGGGGTTGTTCTCGTGTTTTCCTACAGATGAATAACAGGTGCTCATCTGAAAATTATGCATGTGTTGCTAATTTTCAGCAACTTCTATAATTAGATTAATATTGCTATTACGGACGAAATTTTACAAATTAATGTAGTATTTACAGACAGAGACTGAAGCATTGACATAGTATAGTGTACAGCCTTGAAGGTGATTTGAAAGTTATTCAAGAGACAATACATTTAGCGAAAAGTACATTAATATAAAAATTAAGCGTACTTACTGTTGTAGTACAGTATGTCTTCGTTTCTCTTTGTTGCTTAGTTGCATAATTTAAAACCAGTAATTATGCGCAAAATATAACGTATAAGCCTATTTGTAAAACTTATTTTATGAATTTGTGTTTTCACAACATTGAAAACACTCACAGTTCGCCTCACTGACTGCTTCATTCGACGTACGGTTTAGACTGCGGATGGAACGAAACTTCTACGGGTTCATGATTTTAGTTTGTGAAGATATTCCACTCACATACCTATTGACGGCGCTCTAATTCACAATATATCGAAGTTATTAGAGTTAGTCACAACTTTAAAGTGGCACTCATGAAAGAAGAAGGTGACCCGTTAAACACAAGTCCTGAAATATCATGAAGATTGTAAACAAAGCTCATGAAATTGATCTAAAAACTTGACATTCAACTTAAAATCTGTTATATTAGATATCATTGGAATATATATTCAGAAATATATATCATACTTCATGAATGACGTTGGTTCCTTAGCAATGACATCAAGAATCCAGTGAGAATGAAAGACTAAGATAGTAAAATTTACTTGCAACTATTTACACTTCCACTCTTCAATGAAGCCACAAAGTGTAAGATATGAGGCTTTCACGGCGGTGACTATGAAGAAAGCAGTTTTCTGGGATTTGGCACCGTGTATATGCGGTGTTAACCGACGTTTCGGAGGAACGTATCGCCTCCATCTTCAGTCGGCTTTTACCGGTTCTCACGGTCTCTTCGCTTGCAGATTTCTTATATTTTTTCTTCTACCCTGAAGATGGAGGCGATACGTTCCTCCGAAACGTCGGTTAACACCGCATATACACGGTGCCAAATCCCAGAAAACTGCTTTCTTCAAAGCCACAAAGTGTTTACTGTTGCAAGAGGATATCTTGAAGTGTTGAATTTTCAAACACACCACACACAGGATGTTTGAAAAATAATCAGTGCAGATCCATGTATATATTAACCGATTTTCCTACTATGAAGGAAAAGGATAAGGTATCCGCTCACATTGTCAACTCTGGTTTGTTTCCAACAAGAGGGCGTGACGCAACAATGTTATTTTCTTTCTACTGCAGTCAGAACAGACATAAAATGATCTGTGTATGTAAGTACAACGCCATGATTGCATATGTGTGTGTGTGTCAGTAAAGTTCTAAATATTCATAATATGGTCTCTTAATACGAGCAGTATATTATATAATTTTGTTGCTGTATAACATGAATTACTGATAGCGTCATTAAACGAATCATAACGCACTAAGTTTGGTCCAATCGATAGAACTAGTCCCTATCTCCGGAGATAGGTTTTACCTGAAGAGGGAAACAGAATCCAGTCTCCGAAACGTCTGTGTTTTGAAATATAAACAAGATGGTGTTTTAGATAAAAATAAACAGGATGGTGGATAATGCCCAGAAATATAATATTTGTACTAATGTAACGTCGTCACAGACTTTTTGATATTACATAGGAATATAGCCTACAGAACAGTAAGATTCTGACTTCTGTTTCACACCTACAACACTGAAAGATTCTAGTATCTGTGATTTATTTTCACAGACGGACATAGAGCGCTATTGACGAAGCATCTTATTTCAAAAATTGATTAAGAAAATCATATTTCAAGTAGGAAGATAAGATACAAAGCTTAAAAGACGGTATTCCAATTCATGCTTTCATCCACGCTCCTCGTTTGCATCATTTTCTTTTTGAATGTCTATTGATTACAACTGCAAAGAAAACTAGAAGCCCCTAAATAAACAGCCTATCCACATGGAGGAGCTCCGCCATGGAGTAATGAGTTGAAGAAACTCGATCTCTTCCTCCTGTGATCGCTTTTACGTCAATGGGCGTTTCTTTTCACTTTTCACTCCCCCAGAGCCTTCTTCAGCTATAGTGTTACGAAATTAAGCACGAGTACACTTCTGTTTTACCGAGTAGTGTAACCGCGCGGTCTAAGGCATGAACTGTCTTCGCCAACTCGGACGCCGGTGTCATGGGTTCGAATTCCACTCAAGGCATGGATGTCTGTGTGTGTTTATTCTATGTTTGTGCTGTCCTGCCTGTAGGTAGCGGCATTGAGACGGGCTGATCTCCCGTCCAAGGAGTCCTAACGACTGTGTATAGGATTACGAAACTGAGAAAGCAGGCAAGGTCCAACAAAGGGCTGTAGAGCCGTTGACAAATGAATGAATACCTTTGTTTTATCAGTTATATCCGTAACCTGCTTCGATTAATTTCTGTGTGGAGCAGGCAGTGATAGTCCGTAATCGACTGATGAAGTTTATAGCGGATGATGCGGAAATACCTATATAAGACTTGACTGATGCCGTGGATGGGCTGGGGGAAATCACTGAACACTCGATATAGCTTAGCTCGTAAACTAAATCGAAGCCAGTACCTCCAGATTATAAAGCATGCACTGAACCACAATGTTCGGCAGTACGCGCGTATATATAGCCATTTTTCTTTCCCGTTGTAGAACATTTTCACGTGAAATAGTCTTTTTCTCTTCAGAAGAAACAAACATAGCATGTAAACTTTCATAAATAAGTCTTATTCCCCCTCCCAACCGAGATGGAAAAATGGTTCAACTTCTTATCAACAAATTTCCGAACTTTTGTCTCTTTATCTTGCAATTCAACAAAATGAAGAAAACGTCATTTTAAATAAAAGTTATAGAATTTAATGAGAGAGAGATATTTCATTTTATACATGTAACTGACACGATAAATCCTGTGTGAGAGATCTGAGGAAAGTTATCTATGTAGATACCAATTTTTATAATAAATTCTGAATGTTCCTAGCTGCTCCGAACATCTTTCGTGAAGGATTTGAGGTTCTTACAGCGATGGTTATGAAGGTTTCTGTCTTCTGGGCTATAATGCCGTGTAGTTCGAAGTCAACCATATCGCCTCCATCTTCAGGGTAATAAAAACCCAGCAAGGTTTCATCGTAAAAACAGGTGGAAATTTGGCTTCGACCCTCATTTTTTCTTCCCACTCATTTCCTCTAATGAATTTGTGTCCCTTTGTGTTTCCATTACCTCAGTGTTGTAATGTTAATTCAAAATTAACACTTAACAAAACTGCTCTCTCTATAATTTTCTCAATTCTATATCCAACATAATATGTTTGTCTTCAGTTTAGCCTTACACGGAAAGAATAAGTTCTATTAATCCGAGTCTATCTAAAATTATTTTGAGTTAGCGTTCCGTGACTTCCCAAAATCAAAGTTTAATCAACATTACCTTATAGACGACATATCTCGTAGATACAAGGTGAAGTTTCAACCAACAGTGGCTATAGCTGTTGCTGTAGCTGTAGCTGTTGTGAAAGACGATTCAATACAGCAAACTGCCAAAGACAATGAAGTAGACGCTTATGCAAACATATTACTAAGAGGCATATATTGGCTACATTTCAATTGATTGACAAGTTTTCAGAATATCATATATCACTCTGAAGGCGCCCTTCTGCAGTGCTTGTTTGAAGTGTATACATTGTCAGAATTTAGCTACTGTTCCCCGGAGAGTATGCAGATTATTCAAGCAAGTGCATGCGCACAAAAATCCTGTTGTTTTATTATGACAAGTGAACAGGCTTCATAAATATTCTTCTTTTGAACTACATAAACAAGTGAGCTTTGTTTAGCAACGCCAGACTCCAGAAGACATTTGCATATTTATGGTCACTAATTGTTATAACAGAACATGACCTACACAAGATCATATTCACCCAGAAGGTTTTCTCTAGGCAATAGCTTTTAACTTGCATTGTTTACTAGGTACATGAATGACAAAACCTGCATAATTAAGAGATTCATAATTTGCATATTCACATTACTTGCTAGCAAGTTTAAATCATATGAAAAACGGGTCGGATATATTAAATAATTCTAGAAATAAATGTGTACAGAACTCTGGTCGAAAACCTCTAAGAGAGAGGGTACTCTAGAGATCTGGTCATACACGTGAAAGGATAATGTCAATGTGATCCTCAAAGAAACAGAATTCGGAGGTCGGGATCTGCTTTGATAAGGCCGAATGTTGGGCTTTGTAAAGACGGTAATGAACCTCGAATTCATTAAAGCAAGGAATTTGTTTAGAAGCTGAATAACTATCATTTTTTTCTCAGTAATCCGCCTAGGTTATACAGTATCAAATTATAAGATGTAAGATTTGAGGCTTTCACGGCGGTGAGTATGAAGCAATCTTCCGGGATTTGGCACCGTGTATATGTGGTGTTAACCGACGTTTCGGAGGAACGTATCAACCCAATCTTCAGGGTAGAAGGAAAAATAAAAATCCGCAAGCGAAGAGACCGTGAGAACCAGTAAAAGCAGACTGCTTTCTTCAAATTATAAGATGATTACGAAACAGTAATCGGGAACAAAGAAACCGGTCACGGTAGCCGCGTGGTCTAATGCATGAACGGTTTTTGCTCAATCTGAAGCTGGGATCATGGGTTCGAATTCCAGTCAGGGCGTGGATGTTTGATGTGTGTATACGTTTATTCTATGTTTGTGTTATCCTGTGTTTAGGTAGCGGTCATGCGGCGGGCCGATCAATCATCCAAGGAGTCCTACCGTCTGTAAAATAATTGCGGAACTGAATAAGAGACCTGGGCCCTCAATGGGCTGGAAGAGACATAGAAGGGAAAAATGGTAAGGAAGTGGGTGGGCGCAGTATCAATCTATTTTATTTAGTGCATGAACGTTTCTTGACTTTAATTTGATGGGCACAAAATTCGAAAACCAGTCGTGAGTAAACTGAATTATTCGTACATGTGCAGACTTCATGCCGACTTAACTGCACTGCCTATTATCGCATATGAGATATAATGGTTATACAGCCATGACTCTGTCCGCAGAGACTCGTTCTTTAATGCAGAATGCACCACACATTGAAGAGTGTAGAGAGGCCTTACAAAATGCATCTTAGGCCTTATAATATATATTTTTCATAAATATTCTACTTTATTTATAGGATTTCCTCATTTACCATAGATGAATAGGCAAAATGGTCACCTTAAATATACCCAAACAGCTCTCTTCAGACTCCTCACAGTACAGCATTTATAACAACTGTAGTATTTCTTATTTCTCAATTTACTTTATATTCCTTGATGAGTTACAGTTGTCATATTACATCTCATCATCA